TTAAGATTCTAACGTATCCGCTGCTCTCCTGATGTTAGTATCTTTTTACACAGAACCCTGGACTTCAACAAACTGGAGACTCTTCCTCCTGATATATTCCATCGTTTCAAGTTATACGATCTGTAAGTAATTCATCTTGAAGCTTTAGACAGTTGACTGCCGCTGAGTTGGATTAATTTCCCATTTTCCCAAACAATTTTTTAGCGTTTTGTTTGAAAATGAAATTGAACTCCAACTAGCAAACTTAATTTGAAGACTTAAAAATGCTAGTATAAATCTTCTATAAGAAATTTTTAAGGACGGGGGCTTGACACCCAGACACCCACTCCAACTCCCCCTCCCTTCCCCCCGAAAACACTGACTTTCTCACCAGTTGGACGACTAATCGATAGTTTATAGCCCTCAAAGAGGCTGCTTTTTTCAGAAGAAGTTTAAAGATCACCCAAGGTTTCATTTCCATGTCCCATCAATATTTACCAGAATCGGACGGGATTTCACTGAAACCACAGAATAGATATCTCAAAAAACAGGAATCATCAATTTCATGATTACCGTCTATTAATTAATGTATGTTTAGAACTGTCTTTGTTGAAAGTGTACTGTAAGTAGATTTCTAAAGCTTACCCTCAGAGACAGAACTGATTACATGGCGTGACAGACTGAAGCTAAGAAAAGAATTGTGCATCTTACAGGTGGCTGGGAAACAACAACATCAAAAAGTTACCTGAAAACTTGTTTGCGGGGCAGGATAAGCTAAAATATCTGTGAGTGGTACTAAATTGTTTAACTATGCGGCGAAAATTTTTTCATTTATACATATATGAAATTCGAATAAAACCTGAACTTAAGAAATGACCAACATTTCAGCATGGAAAGCTCGTTTCAGTTAGTCCACTTACACCACCCGAATATTCTGGTGGCACATTCACCTGTAACCAGCGGGCTTCGGTGTCAATTGCAATCTCTGATCAGGAGTCGATCACTAACTGAATGAACTATCAAAGGAGTAAGACACAATGCATCTATCACTTAATCGTCATTGCTGACCTTAGTTTTGTTTGAGTCGTCCTGGATCGCAGGAACGGTTGAAAGGCGAAGAAAATAACTTAAAAGGAAGAATTTATTTTACCCGCTTTGACCTTACTAAAACTACAAACAACCCGAGCGTGGTTTATACTCTAAGATCGTCCCTATGGAAGTAGTCATGAAATGGTGGTGGAAATGATGTATGAGTTAACATTGACTTCATTCAAGATGAGTGCGATTTTGGTCAGAGTCAAATGAGATAAAATTGCCTTGTCCATTTAAACTGGATAGTCATGAAGAAAATATGAACTTCGGTAAGTGACAAACTGAACCTCTTGCCTAGCCTTTAATGAGGACAACATTGTCCTGTTTATCACAGAATTCTACTTCTTTGGCTCGACTTTCTGAAAATATTTTCTGCCGTGATCAATTCATAGTTAATTTCTAATTTGTTACACTGATAATTGTATAGTAGGTGCACGAAACTATTACACAGTTCTGATCAGCTACAAAAGGTTGCATTTCTCATGTAACACGTTTGTAAATTTGAAACACAAGGTTAAAATTACAAATGAGCTTTGATTGGCTTAAAAACAAGAGAAATCAACAAAAACAAATAAAAGAAAAGTTTCTTTCGCAGAAGTCAGAAATAAGATGTGAGAGAAGAACGGCCGACGTGTTTGCACACAATAAGTTGGGTTTGCACGTACCTAGTCGCACTTAAAGTGCCACTCTCGCTAAGAGCGGTCCTCTCGACTTCCCGTCGGAAAAAAGTTTTCTTTTATTTTTTGCCCATGAAAAGGGTTTAGGACACATGTTTCAAAAATAGTTCAGTAGTTCTCCAATTCTTTTTTTTTTTGCGTCGCCACAAGCCAAAAATGATTTTTGGCCAGACCACCTCTGTGGACAGCGATCGAAAGTGTACATTTCAAAGATTCTGTCCAGCACGCAGCGACTGCAACAATGTAGCTCACGGAATTCTATCACGCTACAAGTTACAAGATGTATTCAGTTAGTTCACAGACAAAATATGGAAACTTCAGCTGAAATATTTTTCATACCAGCGTGATTAGAGGAGACCCTTCTCCTCGACCTTAATTTGCATATCAAAAACTCACTACTTTGTACGAAAGAATTCTCAAAATGCAGGCGTTAATCGGGCTGAAAAAGCATATCAGTGCATACTTCATACACCAATGAGGTCACGGATGGCCTTAAACTCGCGGGTATATCTCTAGCTTCCATCCACCATCTTCTTAAAAACAACGCAAATTTATGTGTTTGCTCAATTGCGCTCGTGTCAAAGATCATTTGCATCATTCTGAAAATGAACCAAGATCTCCTTTTGACCGTTCAAACTTCGTTCGTTCATTTTCTACGTTGAGGATTTTAGGTTTTCATAGCGACTGAATGGAGATTAGATGCCGAGTTGTCCTACAAAACGTTGCGTAAACGTGATCGGCTTGCGCGCTTGCGTGACTTACAAAGTAGACAAAGGTGATCGGAAGGCGCTTTCTCGATAATTTACGTAGAAATATCAGGTCATGAACTACGCACAGTGTGGAGAAGATCAAAATTAAAGAAGGGAATTTGGCACTCTGGTCATAACGGACATATCGCGTTGCTTAAAAGGACACAAAAACAAGTTAAAATAGGTTACAGTGTTTATATTTACAAAACAACACGCATACACTCTGAAACAATTCTTGCAGTTTCTCCCGAGATTTAGTTCACGGAACCCGATGAACTAGCCCTCCTTTCTGCAAATTTGTTTCCGTCATTAATAATGTTACGCTCTTATGGACCACAACGGTTTTGAGCGACAAACTCGACATTTCCCTGCGACCATCAAAATCAACTTGACAAACCCGGCTTGATATATTGCGTGACGTGATTGTGCAAATTTTCCCCCTTGCCATATGGCCTGTTTCGCGAGTTCTACAAATTGAAACCAAAATTAGTTGGTGTAACGAATTAGAATCGAAATTTATTAAAATGGACCGAAGAATTTTACATTTTATTGAGAATTTTAACTTTTAACTCTTTTTGAAACATGTGCCCTAAACCCTTTTCATGGGCAAAAAATAAAAGAAAACTTTTTTCCGACGGGAAGTCGAGAGGACCGCTCTTAGCGAGAGCGGCAATTAAGAGAGCTTCTTCCGGGCTGAATGTGTGAAAACATGGTTTTAAGCCGCGAAAAATAATGACAACGGGATCGTGGAAAAAAGAGCCAGCGAATGAAACAAATCACTTGAAAGTTTCTAAAACGAAAAATGATTGAAAATACGAGTTAAATAGCCTAAAAGGGATGATAGCTACACTCGACAGGTAATTAGATGTACAAGTCAGACTATGAGAGGTCCATAACAAAAGCAGACGTCCGTATAAAGCGCCAAGTTTTACTGAAGAGGAAGAAGAGGTGCTATGGAAGGCAGAAACTTTTGGTTCTAAAACTCCACACGCTCTTATTTCTTCCATGTGGTGGCTTTAAATGCTATCTTTTGGTTCCCGTGGCCGTCAAGAGCATCGTGGAATGAAGTAAGATGACTCAACTATGAAAAAATGACGAACGCGTGGAGTTCGTGTCGTTTACAGAAGGTCCAAAAAAGACGAGACAGGGCGAGCTTTAGAGTAAGAACATAGATTTCCAGCCTGATTGAAAAAGGTTTCCGGTAGCTCTCTTCAAGCGGTTTGTCTAGCGAGGACCTCCAAATATGCAATGGCTGGGTACCTTCTACCTCAGTGTCTAACGGAACTGAATTGAATGACAATGTCCGCTTTAAAAGCCAACCGTTGAGCCAATGATGCAACGTGATGAAAACAATTGGGGTGGGTAGTAGCCTTCAACAAAGGATGGAAAAGGTCACGAATCACAGTGCAGGAGCCGGCCCATTATGAGCAGCATCGAAGGAAAACCAATTTCTACTTTCACATTCGGGTTTGAAGTCTCTGCGAATGCGGTCACATCTATAACGAGGTATCAAGAAGAACAGACCATGGTGAAGACACTTAAAAACTGACAAGTTTCTCTCATGCTTGGCCGCTCAAAGCGCGCACCAAGGATTTGAAAGCGACGGTCGAGTTCTAACAGATGCTAAGCTTTAATAGTCGAGTTTGAATCTGATAGACCAGTACAAGCCGGGCACTTTTGCTGATCACTGCACAATGAATTTTCTTCAGAACGTTTTTGAATGGTTTAAAATCAATCTGCACACGTTTCCAAGCTTACAGCTGAATAACTTTTGAATGAAAGTCTTGATAAAGTTTGAATTTAACAAACACTGTAATCTGTTTCGGCCAATCATTTGGATGCATCTCAAATAAAATAGCAGCGTGCGGTGTCAAAATTTCCCTTATTTTTGATCTTCTTTCTTCCTTTTTTCTTTTATATTATATTACTTGTTAATTTTTCAGACTAAAAATTGCACTAATCCAAGAGGCTTTTGTTCGTCTGAAAAATGTGTTCGTGCTTTTTTAAACGCTTATTTAAACAAGCTTCAATGCTAAATAATGTGATTACCCATGCAAACCGTAATTCAATACATTTTGCTCAATTTAAAACTATATTGTTGTTCTCCCAATGCAGGCGGTTGGGCGGCAATCAGTTGAAAGAGCTATCACGTGAAATATTTCTTGATTTGTCTGACTTGGAAGAATTGTAAGTAACAATTTTTTCCAAAAGTTTTAGAGATATCACTATTCTGTACATTGCGTTTGTATGAGATCCACTGTTATCAACTAGTTTAAAACACAGCACTGAATTATTAAGAATAAATCTATTAATCTTCGCAAATTTGAAGTAAAAGATTAATATCACTGAACATCTAATGATAATGATTCGTCAGTTTTCAGTGATTAAAGTTGATTCTGTCAATTATCAGGGAGTGGACCTGTCCTGATTATGCCCGTATTATGTTGGAAAGGTTCTCACCGAACCGCTAGAAAAATTCTGAAAAAATGGCTAAAAGTCCAAAAAGGTTGCCACCTGAATTTTGAAAGTTGCCACCTAAATTTCTTGATACTTTTCTATAAATATAAATTAAAAGCTTTATTTTTGATTCCTCTCAATAAATGCTAACATAGGTCAAGAAAAATAGCTTGAAACTTAGCTTTAAAGAGTTGCTTGCAAATATGGGCCAAATTTATATATACTCTTGAGTTTAAAGGAACGAAACACATGGCTCATTAGACGCTTTGCCGAACGATATGAAGGAAATTGAATGAAACTAGCTCTACTGATTGCATTCTCAGAGTCTAAACCATAAAACTCTTAAAGTTTTCAATGAAATCGTTGGCTTTTTCGTGCTTTATATGTGCTCTAAACCTACCTTGTTCAGAAAAATTGCTCAGAAAAGGCACGAATTGCTCAAGGTTGTTAGAACCACAAAAACTTGCTCCTAACCTCAAAAGGTGCTCAAAAGTTGCCGAGCGCAATCGGGACAGGCCTATCAGGGAATACACAGCCAGTTGAATGACGAGCTTGCTGATGTAGGGGAGGGGGGGGGGTTGGGGAGGGGGCAGAGAGAGTTAATCTTCTCAAATTTTTAACAAAAATTCGTGATTCTCTAATTTTAAACGTTGTCTTAAACATCAAACATCAAACACGTTTTCTGTTATCTTTAAATGAACGCACAATCAGACAAAGAATCTATTTGTATGATAATGAAGAAACAGAAAGTTGTTAACGGTGATGTTATCTAGGGGGTGCCTCGACCAAAAGATCATCAGTTAGGATCAATAAAAATGCATATATAATTCAGCTTATTAACAAATTTTTTTAAATTGATTCATCGAATATGGGTGCCTTGTCACATGGTGAATCAAACAGCTTGCATTCACATTTAAGTTTGTCGATAAACTAGCCTGCATACAACTGTTTTTTGGTATAATGATTAAAAATTTTTAGTTAGGTGTTGTTGAATAAATTTTGTTGGATAAGAAATACAGTAATCTTCGACGGAAAGGTCAAAGTCGACACGTATCAAAATCATTTTCCTTATACGGTTCAAATAAAGTCGATGCCCATAATAGTGGGCATAACATCTATTTATGGCACTCGAAAACTTATTTAGTTAAAGACATTTGACCCATTAGTTAAAAGTGTTTGTTAACTGCACTTTTGACAAGTTCTATTCACTTCGCTCCCCGATTATTTCATTGCTAGGGACTTGTCCTACAATCAGTTGCAGTTTTTGCCCCGAGGGATACTTAGCAATAATATCAAGCTGACAGAACTGTAAGTAAAACTGATTGTAAAAAAAAAAAAAAGAAAAGTTACGGGTCCAATATAGATAATTAATGATGGTGGTCTTTAACTACTTGAAGAGTTTGCTTATTTCTGCTTCGACGTGATCCGCTACCGGCGGATGAATTGATTCACTAAGTGGTGTGATTTAATGTTAGATCTCCGAATGCGTTCTGTGGGCCTACTATTAATTATTGTCTCAAAAGAAAGATCTCTCAGTTTACTGCATGGAGTTATTTTTTCACTGAGTGAATCTGCTGCATACATATTGGTGATTCCTGGCCATTATTTATGGGGTATTCAAAATGTCTCTATTCGCAAAATTTATATCTAAAAACACGTTGCGGTATAAAACTGGTTGGCTCGTTTGGCTCTTGTTTAGCTCATACCAGAAGACTTAAGTAGCGGGCTATCAGCCAATTATTAAAATAGGATTTAAGTTCTTGAACTGTTATTTAGCTTACTGTTATCTCAATAAATACTCTAAGGGATTTATCAAACAACGAAATTCAGCGTCTGCCCATGGATGTTTTTGGCAACCTAACTCAGATGAAAAAGCTGTAAGTGGCATTCAGTACAAACTCCATAGCAAAGGGAATTATGATGTATAGTTTTTCATAGCGCTTGAAGTAAACATATGCATTATGACCATTCTAAAAATAGAGTTTTGCGGATTTAGATTTTTTTATTATTTCAAGATGCGTACTGCCTTTATATAATGCTAACTTTGGTGGAGTTGGTCATCGAGAACAATTGAAAAAAAGAGGTCAATATTAAATTCAATTGTCTCACACAGCCTTTTGCTTCACGTGACTTGTGACTATAATTTTTTCGCTAAGTAACCAGGGAACTCTGTTAAGATTGATTTGAGATGTAAGTGACTTATTATAGTTTGGTGCATCAGTACTGAAAAGTGATGTCATGCTATGAAAACGCCCATTTTAACAATGAACGCGCAAATGGTATCTTTTGCCTAAATTCTCAGGATCAAGAGTAATCAGTTTATGTACTCAGCAAAAATGGGTAGAACTTTGTAAGTCTTCAAAATAGCTTTCCCATGAAGAAACAATTGGGTTTTATTTCATGCCTATTCGGAGAGAACAAGAACCTTTCCAAGAATCTCAAATTCTATTTCAACCGACTTTTTTTTCATTTTATATATCACTCACAGCTTACTCTCCAGTAACAAACTTCAGCGCTTGCCAAGGTTCAAAAATCTCTCCGAGTTGAAAATATTGTAAGTGATTCACGTTTGTGATATAACTGGCTCAGTACGTGTCTTGTATAATGAGCATTAACTTAAAGGTAGCGTTGGCCAAAACCAAAGGATCAGCTTGGATACGGACTATTTCTCTGGCATCTTCTTATGACTTAAAAGTTTGTTTAAGGATGTTAAATGATTGCGTAAAAAGTTAAATTATACATTCACTTTGGAAAGAGATACCATCAACTAAGAACTACTCAAGGGTCAAATATTTAAGGTGATAAAACAAAATACAATACAACACATCTCGTACATTACTTTAATAGCACCCTCCCCTTCGGGCTTTACAAGGACCATACGCTAGAAACGATCGCTGATGATTGATGATTAACCCAAATCAAACTTCAATGATCAATTTTTATTTTTCTTAAAAAATGTATGAAATTTTTTAGCGGTTATCAAAACGTTGTCGTCAATATTGAGTTTATTTGGGTTTTAAATGAAAACACAGGATCTATAAATTTCAGTTTTTACCTAACTTTTTTCTAGCAGCTTTTCCAGATGTTCCAGAAAAGGGTTGTTCAAGCTAAAAGTATAGAATTCCGGGTGATGCGATTAGAAATACGAGCTTTAACTCGATTGCAAAAGTAAATGGGCGCACGTCCGATCATTCATTTAATTTTTACAACAGCGTTACCAAGGTTTAACCATTGTTTACCTGGTGGCCAGCATAGTCCTTTCGGTGAAGGCGTAACACGATGGAACTTAATTGTTCTTGTCACAATGCACGTGGCAACGTCTTGGTCCAAATACATTTATGAGATGTTTTTTCAGGAAGTGTTGGAGCACACTGATGAGCAGTAGAACAGTTTGCCGAATACCAAGGCGCTAATACGCTTTCGAAGGAGGTTTCCATAATAAGCATGTTTAATTCGACTGACTTTAATTAAAGATGAAACAGTTTCTATAATATAAGACAGGGTTTGGGACTAAACTAGTCTCGAGGTCCTCAAAAGATTATGCTGAGTCAAGGTTACTTAAGAATCAATAAGTTTCGCAGTCAGCTCTGTGCTGCCAAATATCATTAAGGTCAATAAATACCTCCCCCCATCAAAGACTCTGTAATTATACCGAGCGCCTGTTGCATTTTATTGTGTAGATACATGTATAACAACAGCCTCGTACACCTGTCACCTGATCAGTTCCAAGGCCTGTCCAAACTGGAAGAACTGTAAGTAAGCATTCGATAGAAATCATACCTGACTGCACAAGTAACTATTCTTGACCAAATATGTACCCAACTCAGTAGGGCGAATAGACCTTTCTTTCCTCCTCCCACCACTTTTGCCCAAAGTTCGCTAAATTTTTAAGCTAGTGTACTTTGATTGGATAAACCTCAGGAACCTTAGCAGAATTCTGAAAAAGATGCTTTGTCATCCATCCAAGACAGCAACTGCCACCTCGGATTTCTCCAGAAAAAGACAGAAAAAGAAGAGAATTAGAGATGTAGCAATTCTCTCCCTCACCCCCGAAAAAAATCAACAGATCAGTGAAACAATGCTTTTATAGAAGTCCAAATACTAGCATGCACTAAGTTTTGACATTTTCAGCAAGGTAACCGCAAACTGCATATCAGTCTAACTTTCCGGCTGTGAGGTTTAGTTTTGTTTTTTTGTTTTTGTTTTTGACTTTATTACTATGTTTTCAATATCGGATAGCTCTTGAAGATGTCGTAAGGAGAGGGCATTTAAGAATCAATGAAGATAGGAAGAAAGTTTATGTAAATACGTGCTTACCACTAAATTTTTCTATATTTCTGATAATAATGATGTGCCCTCTATGTTGTTCTAGGGTTGTTTACGAAAACAACATTAACTACCTGCCACGTGAAGTTTTTAAAGGCATGAAAAACATAATGACTATGTAAGTAACTGTTTCTAAACTATCCTCTGATTAACGGTAACGAGGTACTGTAAAATTAGTAAGGGTCTCGTGAAGATGCAATTATAGCAATGTATAGCCATTATCTGCGACGAGTTCGGCTCAGGTAAATCAAAAGGCCTACTAAGTTCCAAACCAAAAACACGGACAATCTTCTACCCCCGAGGACAGATCATACCTTATGATCAAAACCATGTGTGATGGACGACGAAATATTACGATTGTGAAAGTGAAAACAGGCTGACTAAGAGATCATATTAACTAGAAGAAGAGAGAACCACCAAAAGGCAAATCAGACAAAACCTTGAGAGACACCAGGTCTCTTTAACCACCAAAAACAAGATCCTGCTAAGGTATCCCCTTCCAGATTCAAACACTGAGTTTACAAAGACTTCTAGCGTGAAAACCTCTCGAGGGTAAGCATGACAATACTCATGGGGTTACTTAAATCGGCATCGGCCACGCGGATAGAAATAGATCTATCAATGACGACTTAAATAGAGAATGTTTTGTTCATTCTTGATAACTTAACTGTCACTTTGAAGAACTTCTCAGTAAAATGAAAATTCGTAAAAATACTTATGTGACATTATTGTATGGCGCACTGCCTACTGTACGGTGAGGTTCTTTTCTCGTTGCAGAACATTTTGAACAAATGGAAGATATTGCCTTCCATCCTTGACTAATTTTCTGTCCAGTGTTGTTTTAATTTACGCTTTAATGCTTGTCAGTTGACGCTCTACACTTTTCACTGTTTCATCGTTCTGTAGGAGCTTTTATTTCAACAATATCCGCACCGTTACCAACGAACAATTCAAAGATGTCGCCCCAAGTATTCGATTCCTGTGAGTATGAGTAAACTGATAATATTCCAGGTGTGTTCAAACTACTTTGAGTTCAAGGGAGACAGATATTGTTGGTGCGACCTTCACGTGCTGTAAACTCACGGATAAGCACCCCTCCCCCATTTTAATGAATGTACAAGTGATCATACCACTGGCCGAATTGTTTAAGAAGGGAAAATGGAGTAAACGATTTTCACATACATACCACCACTGATATACTAAGAGTACCAACTGTGCCGCTATTATCGATCGGCTTTGTACATTAATGCACAGTTTATTCTTTTATTTTCGCCCACATGTTATACTTCTTGGGACGATCATATCTGGTCACAAGAAAAAGTTTGGGAAAAACTTAAGGGAGGGCCCCTCCCCATAAAGTACCCTCTCTGTAGTGAGCGACCCATCTTTTCAACCTAAATTTGAAATGAGTGCACCAGGTGCTCATTGGAGGATTAACAGCATATGAATATAACAAATAAAGACACTTCGGCATAGCCTGTGTAAGTATGTTTTACATACTCAATGACGAGTTATCCGTCTTCGGTGTTAGTTATCTTTCAAATAGTTGTTGAGAATTGGGCAGGAAAAGGAACAAGAGAGAGCCGAAAAACTGATTAATACATAACGGTAATAGGACTGAGTGGAGTCCAATTCGGTCTGTAATCATACGAGTGATCAACAAAATCAGACGACGGCGAGGTGGGAGTCCGATTTGTTAATCACGACTATGATTACACACAGAATTAGATAACAAGAAGTCCTGTTACTAAGTAATCATAGCCATTTGAATTTCCGAAAAAACAAATTCACCTAAAACAAATATCTCCAGTAGAGACAATGTCTTAAGTTAAAAATTCCTCCATTTTGAAAATTCCCCAGTTTTTCTTTGAATAAGTGATTGTTGCTGTGATTATTTCAATCATTTCTGTGATTGGTGGATTAGCTGAGTAGACTTAGTATGATTGGCTGCTTCAACTGTCCGATTACCGGTGTCCGATTACAGCCAACTGTCCGATTACACTGTCTTATTACAACTGTATGGGATGATTAGTGAAAAATGAAGCCGCGAATGCTCCAATAATATTCGAGGAATTAGTAATGTTTGTGATTAATAGGCTAAAGATATCGATGTTATCAAGAATTAGCGAGCAAAGTTTGCCTGAATTACTTTCCTTAAATTTGCAGGTACTTCCATTACAACGAAATGCGAGAACTACCGGAGGGTTTCTTTTCAAACATGAAGTATCTAATAACTGCGTAAGTCAAGTGGAATGTTCTCCACGCGAGGAGTTTAAAATTGAAAAATTTCATTTGCCAGTGCCCAGTTATACTGCACTGACTATATTACTATTACACTTTCATTTTCTTGTAAATTTAGATCCTGTGACGGATCAAATTTGTATTTTTTCCCCTTTTATTGTTCATTTCAACTCTTTTTATGAACCGTAGGACTGTAGACACCAACCTGATGTGTTGCCATTTGACGAAGCAGGATGCAGATTGCGACTTTGCTTATGTCGACAGCTTCGCCAGTTGTGAAACTTTGTTCAGAAATCGAGCTCCTAGGGAGTGCCTTTGGGTGGTTGGAATTATGTCGTTGGTTGGTGCTGTGTTTGTCATTGTGTGGCGGTTGGTGTTTAAGGAGAAGAAGAAGAAAAACAAGATACAGTCCATCATGTTGATACATTTGGCTGGGGCTGATGGACTTATGGGTGTCTACCTCATAACTATAGGTGTGGTGGATGCCATTTGGGCAGGGGAGTATTATTTGCATGACTATTACTGGCGTTCAAGTTTGACATGTCAGATAACAGGTGCCATTGCCGTGTTGTCAAGTGAGGTGTCTGTTATGACGATTTGTTTGCTCTCCGCCGACCGGATGAAGAATATTCTATTCCCCTATCGTGGAAAGTCCCTTACACTTAAGGTTACGCACCTTTTGTGCTTCCTTATCTGGATTGTTGGTGTCATAATTGCATTTATTCCCACGGTGGGCTTCGACTACTTCGGTAGTCGCCAGAAAGGTCATCACTTTTATGGCAGATCAGTTGTATGTCTGCCATTGCAGCTTTCCACTGATAAGCCGTCGGGCTGGGAGTACTCTGTTGCCATGTTTGTGGGTTTAAACTTTACCCTTGTGCTCTTTGTCGTTGTGGCATACACGATGATAATCTATAAGTCCTGCGCATCAAACAGGCGCATGGCTCAGCAAGGGACTGAAAGAGAGAGGAGAATGAAAGCCAAGTCAAGGGCAGCCGATCTGAGGAGGGAGGCCTCGCTCGCCAAAAGAGTGTTCTTCATTGTTCTTACCGACTGTGTCTGCTGGATGCCTATTGTGGTGATTGGAATGAGGTCTCTCGTGGAAAAATCCTTCCGTACACCTGGTGACCTCGCAGTTTGGATCGCAGTCTTTGTTCTGCCGGTTAACTCTGCCATCAATCCCATTCTCTACACTTTATCAACAGTACAGGTAGTAACTTGCAACCTTCATATCTTTGCTTAAACGTCTTGCTGCAGCTTGATCAGCTGAAGTTTAAAGGATACTTTCATAAACATTTTATTCTATCTCGTGAAGAATATCAAAAGAACTAGTTAAAAAGAAAATACATTCCAATTTGCAAGAAAATTTTAGCGGGTTTTGATATTTGAATATTTTGCCGACTGTCCTTAATCTGCCAAAAGAAACCATTTCCCATAAAAAAAAGTCTCGCCAAAAAAACGCCGCGTAAACTTATTACGTTTACTTCAACACGTCGTTGAAGTAATTTTTTAAAATAAAATTTTTTTTTGGTTTTTTCACTTGTCATCCTTTTGAGTAGTGGAAGTTGTAGAACTCAGAGGGTGCTATTACTAACTAACCAGTTAAAAAATAAAGATTATATAATTCCCGTACCTTGTCCGGTCATCTAGAACGACAACATTTTCGCGTTGCTCGGCATTAGGTATACCAGCCTTATTATGCTACTTACTAAGATACAAGCAGTGTTTAAATTTTTCTATACGTGCCTAAGAACTGCGTAACTAACGAAAAATAAAATTGTTTGTTTTCAAGTAATAACACTTCCGGTGAAGTGAAAAGATCGCACGGAAAAAAAAAGAGCCCTAACTAACAAAAACGGTTCTGTTTCTGGGTGACCTACTAAGCATAAGTGACTAGTACTCTGACTGGTTGAAACCTTCATATTGATCATTTAAGCATTGGACAGGACTCTCGCTCGGTTTACCGGCAGAACATCCCACGCGCGATGTTGGGAGAACTTCAAAAAGTTTTGAATCACCAGCCGAGAGCGAGGGACTTTTGAACTTTGCGAGTTTCTCACAGACATCCAAAGAGAGTTATTACCCAACTACTTTTAAAAATTAGATCAAGATTGATCGGTTCAGAGAACCATAGGTGTTTGACCAATCAGTACACATAGTATTCCAATTTGTTTTGTTTTGCTCTTTGTTCTTGATGACTTGCATTTAGGTACGACGTGTTCTGAAGGCTAAATTCCAACAGTTATGGAGCTATTTGGTGGAAAAGTGTGGACGAAATCAAAACAATGAAGGTAAATTTATCGAAAATCATCCTCCGGAAATAAGGACTAAGGATTAAGGATTAAGTACCTGTCTGATTAAGTTTTATTGTCACGTGATTACCTTCTGGCTTCTGTTGCACTTCTGCATGATTATCTTTTAAAGAAAAAAAAGGAAGGAAAAAAATGACTATCTTTGGTGATGTTGATTATATCTTCATACATGATTCACCCATCCACAAATCACTGATATTTACAATGATGAAGATAAATACTATTCGAGTATGTTTGACTAATGTCATTGCTGTTTTCCAAAGGCCAAGATCAGGGCGTTGAAATGCAAGTCATCGAAGAAGGTATGAAATATTTACTCGGCTCAAGTAAACATGGGGGAAAGTCGCTCGATTTCCTAAATCGCTCGGGTAAATCTGAAACGAAGAGAGACAGAATGCTATGAAGAATGGATGGGCAAAGCTGAAAATATGAAAACAGTTTTACGTATTTTCTTGATTAAAACGTCTAGGCGAAACTGCTTATTTAGATCTGAACGCCGTAAGCGTATAATTGAGGTTTAAATCGAGGTTCCGCCCTTTAGTTTAAGTCTCACTTTCAAGTAACTACACTTGATTAAAGAGCACTGTTGTCAAATTTATACAAGAAAATGTTCAAAGGAAAAAGAGTAATCCCTGTAGAATAACGAGCGACAAGTTTTTACGACTGGAAAAAGTGAAATTCGTGCCGTATTGACCGACTACTCCTTGAAGTCGGAGGATGAGCGAAGAAAAATCGGCGTAAAATGACAGGAAACTAAATCCCGTCAATAGCCGTCTCGACTCGTATAAACGCCGGGGTTACCTGGTTAAATTTAAAATAAATGCCGCGGATGTTTAATGAAGAAAATGCGTAACAATCGTTGTTAACTTATTTATTTTTCTTGAAAGAGCTGCTACCCAAGTTTTTGTTCCAATAAAGACTATTGCCCTTTCGTTAGAGTTTATGTCAAACAACAGTGCACAAGATCAATAAAATGTTATGATATACTCTTTGATTTTAAATGATATACTGAGAATGGTACTAAAGGAAGTAGCACCCGTGGTACAATCCACTTTTTATTTTTTTAAACTTTTTTCTTTACAGTTCAAATCCAACAAGACGCAGAGAGTGATGACAGCGATGACAGCGATGACAGTGACGACGAATCGAGAGATCAAAGCGAGCATGAGCAAAACGCTGAGCAGGCCGAGCATGAAGAGCCCGAGGAGAGAGCTGTGACTGAACAAGAAGAAAAACCCGAGGAAGACCACGAAGACCCATCAGAGCTGAAAGACGAACCTAACAAACAAGAAGAAGAATCAGAAAACGAGTTCAAAGAATGCGAAGAGGAAGCGGAAGATAACATGGAACATGGACCTGACAAACAAAAAGAACAACTAGAAAAGGAATTCACAGAATGCGAAGAGCAAGAGGAAGATAACATGGAAGATGAGGCTGGGGAAGGCGACGAGTTAATTGTGAATAAGGGTATGTTTATCAACCCTCTGCTTCTTTTAAAAAAAGAACTTTGATATATTGAGATTATTTTCATCAATTTGGAGGACTATTGGTGAACGATCTCTCTTCATTTTATACCTTAAACAAATTGTTAGTTTCTACAATTTCGTTACCTCCCTTGCCCTGCTTAACTACGTTCAGCGGTTTATTCGAATAGTGAAGGAACTTTTCCTCATTGGAAAATCTTGGAGCGGTTTTTCTTTCAGCAGTGACAGGAAGCGCTTTTGCGAGGCTTACGTTGTACTACGGTGCCCCAATTTATAACAATCTCGCTATGAATTAGTCTAAGCAGAATTTAAGTATTTAACACACGGTACGTGACTGAGTGTCTTCTTTTTTTCCTTGTGTCATGTGATTATGCAACAGATAAACACCAAGCAGATGATAATCTCCCAGCAGCCTCTGGGCGAGAGTCTCCAAGAGCACCGCTGGCCACGTTTGATGATGACTCCGACCTTGATTTTTTTTACCCAGCGCTCGATGGTATAAAAGAAACGAGTGTGTAAACAACAACACTGTATTCTCAGATGAGTGCATTCGTTATGTAAGAGAAGTACATGTACCTTAAGTGTTGCATTTTTTTCTTGTTTAACAAATTAACTTTAAAATCGATTGCGTAGGTAGGTGTTTGGCCCCTGTAATGACTTTGAAATACTTCAACAAACAGTAGTTTTCGTACATAGTGTCAAAATACGAGCCTGTTGGTTTATGTGAAAATGTAAGTGCTCGTGTCGTGTTATACCAGATACATATTGATTATGATTCAATAGGCTAAATGTAATAAAAAAACGTGTCAATGTGTTGTTTAGTTAGGTTTTCGACTGTATATGTAACACTTTGTACATGTACCATTAGAGATCAAAAGTATGTTAAGTCCCTTCAGCAGTAGGTAAGCTTTGAATTGGTATAACTTAAAATTATTTTAGAGGCCCATCTCTGTCCTTTGCAGTAATATTACTTCAGATAACACTTCATTAACGAGAGTGAACTTTAAAATGGACAAACAGTGCTTGCTTTATTGGCGGATACCCGAATCAAAGATCGGAGAGCCCTTTTTATTAATTAAAATTTGAGTAATTACTAAACTTAAAGTTACAATCGATTTCTCGCTTAAGCTTAATGTTCAACGTAACCTACATATCTTATATATTCGCCGGGTAGATGGCTGTCTTGTATAACGTTACTAAGCCATATATCCTATTTAATCTAACGCTGTTATCAATACCTTACTTATGATTTGTTTAATTCAACTTAAACATCTGAGATTTTCAGTAGATGGCTGTGTTATATTACAATGCTAAGCCATGAATCATATTTATTCAAATTTTCAATTTGAATTTACCATAATATTATTAGCTATGATTTGTTTAATTCAATCTTGACAACACATAAAATATGACATAAGTTCCGTAGATGGCTGTTGTATAGCAATGCTAAGCCATAATTCGCATTTATTCAATTTGAAGTTAAGTACTCAGTAGCAGGCTGTATTGAATAGCAATGTTAAGCCATGAATCATATTTACTCAATCTGAAGTTACCATTAATTTCAAGTTACTATTAACAGCTTACTCATAATTGTTTCATTACAAGGTAACTTCTTATATATTTCGTAGATGGTTGTGTTGTATTACAATGCTAAGCCATGAATCATATGTATTCAATCTGAAATTACTATTGATATCTTACTCATGATTTGCTCAAAAGAAAAAAAAATAACATCCTATGTAATTAGTAGATGGCTGCGTTACTTAACAATGCTAAGCCATAAATCTTATTTACCCAAAAGAAAAAAAAAGTACCATCCTACGTAATTAGTAGATGGCTGCGTTACTTAACAATGCTAAGCCATAAATCTTATTTACCCTACTGCACGCATGTACTAAGTGCTCAGGTCAGATGATGCACGTGTATCTGGCTCATTTATTTATTCATTTGGATTTGTTGTTATCTTGACTCATAAGTAAATTTTGCAGAAGCTTGCACAAATCAAAAGGAAAACGGTATTACTGACGTAATACAGAAAGACAGGAGGACGAACATCAAATAAGTCATATGTATCAGTCAATCTCTTTTGGTTCATTTTGAGCTAACGAATGAAGATGCTGTTTACGGATACAAATGGAAGTGTAGAATGCTGTATATTGTCAAGCTCGTCTGCCTAAGTAAATAAAAATCATAAAAAAATGTGGTTTATTTTAGATGACTATCCATTAACCATTGACCCCTAAGAACGATTAGCATCTAATTTCTCCCCTCAGTCAAACAGTAAGGTCATGAGAATAAAGGAAATGATCACCAGCTTAAGAAGTTCTCAATTGTTTAACAAATTTTCCTCGTCAGCATCTTATAAACATGTACAGAAGATAACATGGAGAATATGCCTACTGTTGTTAGGTTGTATATCTATCAGCGTAGAAGACATAGGTGAATTTTTGTTGATTAAAACTTACCGCATCTCAATAAAATGCCATAATTATCCCAAATTTTCTCATTCGGTCTGATTGCCCACCCCAAACCCAGAAAAAAGTTGTAATCAGGACGGAGTATTTTGGCAGACTGCATAGAGCTAGAAATGTCATTAGTAATGGATAAAATAGTCTGTTTCAGCTCTATTCATCCGTCAGTGTCTTTACATGTGTGAGAGGGTATAAGGAAACGTTTGACCTGATATGTCGCAGATTACCAAACCCATATTTGCAAGTAAACAATCAGAAACGCAATCTAACATCCCTCCAATCCTACGATATTTCGTCACTGTCCTGATATGCCACGACCAAGAGATATTAAATTGTTTTATAATCTCATGGCCACGATATCATGGCCACTTTCAAATTAAATAGAAAATAACACATGGGTGTGCGTAGTTATGGAATCTCTCTTCAAATTTCTCGTTCGCTGCGCTCACTCGTGAGATAACAAGTTGAAGACGTTAAGAGAAATTCCATATCTCCAAGCAGCCATGTATGATTTCTTTTCGTTACATAAACACCGTTGGCTTTTATATTACTAACAAGAAAATTCGGCGAATGACCTCTGATGAGAATGGTGAACAACACCTCGCCACTTAGGGCCTGTTTACATGGAGGTGGGGGACCCCAGGTAGGTGAGGTAACCCGCCTAGGTGGGGTAACCCGCCTTTCCATATAATCTCTCATTTTATCTTGATCACGTTTACATGATAGGTAGGGTAACCCGCCAAGGCGGGTTGCCCTTTCTGCCAGGTAGGGTAACCCTGTCAGCCGGGGTGACAATTTGCCATGTAAACGTCTCAAGGTAGGCTAACCCGCCTAGCCGGGGTCGCATTCATGGCAAAAACCTCAAAAGCTAAACACGTGTTTTAAAACTTTGAGCATTTCCTAGACGTCTCAAGGCAGAAATCACCAGAAACCGCAACGGACACACGAGAGTGTAAAATGTTCACATATCGGAATATTAGGCCGAGATCAGCTCATTTTCAGATAAAGGTGATTTAAAACTTCCAAACAAACTTTGAAACATTATTTTTATCAAAACCCTGTCACAATCGGGTGAAATTTGCGTTGTAAATCGACCATAAAACTATTCCTTATAACGTAGACGTTTCAAGGTCTTTCCTTCACAAAAACTAAATTCGATTCCTGCGTAATCTAAACCCGCGTAACTCTTTTGTGCAATTTACGGTACAAATGTCTAAACACTGGTGATTTGTTTCAAATAAAATACTTCTCTCGCTCTTTCACTACGAACAAATTGCTCGAGAAAATTCAGGTTTAAATGAATGAAAGTTCCATCGTTCACTGTAACCAAATACTTCACGTTTCAACTTTCTGGGTACTTTTTGTGAACGATTAAAATTAATTGCAGACGGTTTTTAGGCTGCTTGTCAAAACGTAATGACACTATCAAATTCATTCTGAAACCAACATTTTTCTGTCAACCAAAGTGATTTGATAGAGAGAAAAGAGAGGATTCATAAGTTATTTATCCTTGAGATAGTGACAAGCCGGACGAGATTCAACGAGAGTTAAAACTCACGAAAGCGTGTTCACATTCGGAATATTAGGCGTTGTAAATCGACCATATTTCGTTTCGTATTAGTCACATTCCTCGCGTAATCTAAAACCGCGTAACACAACGACGCTTTCATGAATAAATACATACATGTCCGAGAATTAATCTTTCGTCTTTCTCGAGATGTGAGCTTGGGACGCTTATGCTCAAACTCCCTAACTGCAAGCGCAACAACAACCTCAAGAAACCTCACCCCAGCACCCCGGGGTTGTAAGATTGCATGTAAACGTGTTTTATTTTTCGACCACGGCTAGGCGGGTTACCACACTGTAAATGTAGGTTTTATGACTGCGAGACTTGGTACAAAACTTCATTATTTGAGTTTAGCTGGTGTTTACAGGTTGGAAAAAAATATATGTATAGATAAATATTGCCGCCATAACTAGACTTGAGAGCACTCCTACTCGCTATTAAATTGTATGTTTGTCGAAGAGTGCTGAAACATTGACATTAGCTGACATAGAATCAGTGGAGTCGGAGTTCTTAAATTTGCGTTGTATTTTGAGCTAAAAAACCTCCCAGAAAGGGAGTTAAAAAAGACTTCAATGAGGAACTCGAAAAAAGTGTTGAAGACAAAAATAGTATTAATATAAGCACGTCAACACAATTTGCACCACATACGTGGCAAATAATTGACTTGAAAAGAGCGATGTTGTTGACTGTCAGATTCTGAAGCATTTTCACTGAGAAACACGCGCAGCGTGGAGAGAAGAATTTGAACCATCTACACTGAACAACAATCAACGGGGCGAGTTTGCTGGGAATAAAAAAAATTTGGAAATCACTCCGACAGAAGTGTTAAACAAGACCAGATCGCAGTCCGCAGAATTCCTTGAGTTCCAGTGCTGCTAGTATTTTTCTTCAACTCTGATTCCTGAAACTGAAAATTTTTAAAACTAATGAGACGAACTGATTTGAAATCTCAAAGTGATTAGCATTTTTTAACTTTCTGTGTGTTCGTTTCCACGTGATGAGGTTTGTAAAACAGTTCTTATCGGCATAAAAGGTGATAGTCTTGTTTTTCAACCATAATTTATCCCTTTGTTTGTTGTGACCAAGATAACGATTATCGTTATTTCTAAATTGGCCCTGAAATAACGAATATCACAATTTCAGTGCATGTCTGAGACCTTCAAGCTCGAAGCTTGGGAACTAGTATTCAGGGAAAGATAAAATGGCGGCTTACGGCGGCGAAGGAAATCTCAGTAGTTTAATATTTTAGCGTGAAAAGGCTTGGGTGTTGTGATCTGGTTCTCAAGTAAAAAAAAAATCACGGTCTGCAATGGCCCTACCACCTTTTGAACAACAAGAAAACATTGAAACGGTGGTAAAAAGCAGCAAGTTTCGAAGTCTAAACGAAAGATGGGTAAGCTGAGTTTCAGTCAAATATCATGACATTTGGGATGTAATTTCGATACCGAATAAATAGTTCTACATGGTTATACACGCATAGGATTCTGTTGTGTTCACGTGAAGGCCATTTCAGCCATTCCTGCCACTTGTAAGTGGTAGGAAATAAAAGATATGTATAGTTGTTTCGTATTGAAGCCCTGTGAAATCACAAATTTGATTTATTTCTTCTTTGTTTTAGGTGGTCATTATCCATTACTTTTGGAAGTCGATAC